TGAAGTCCTAAAATTTCTTCAAATAAAACCAAGATGATCCTCAAATATCTAAGATGCTTCTCTTCAGCATCACAGAAGACTAGAGTATCATCAGCATATTGGAGATGTGTGATCTCTAGACTATTAGCACCATTCATGTCAACCTCAAAGCCTTTGACCCATCTATTGACATTTGTTGTCTTAACCATGTTGTTCAGACCTTCCATGGCTATGATGAATAGGAAGGGAGATAAGGGGTCACCTTGTCTTAGACCAATATTGGCAGGGAAGAAACCTTTAGGAGATCCATTTATGAGGATGGAAAATCTCACAGTAGAGATACAGAATTTCATCCAATTGATCCATTTCGGCCCAAAACTCATCTGTTCTAGCATTTTCAACAAAAAACTCCACTTGACATGATCATAGGCCTTCTCAATATCTAATTTGCATAGAATTCCTAGTTTTTTCTTTTTGATTCTTGATCCACTGCTTCATTGGCTATCAACATTACATCCATTATTTGTCTTCCTTTGATAAAACCCATCTGTTGAGCACCTACTAGTTTGTCTACCACCCTCTTCAGTCTTTCAGTCAAAACTTTTGAGAGCAGCTTGTAGAAACTTCTATCAGGCTGATTGGCCTAAAATATCTTAGTTATTTAGCACTTGTCTTCTTTGGAATCAGTGTTATATATGTTGCATTGAAGCTCTTCTCAAACATCTCTTGAGAATGAAAATTGTTAAAAGCCTTTATGATGTCCTGCTTCATAATATCCCAGCACTTAATGTAAAAACTCATTGTGTAACCATCAGGGCCTAGGGCCTTGTCACTTGCACACTTCTTCAGACAGCTCAGAACTTCTTGCTCCTCAAATTTGGTTGTAGAAATTCCTTCTCCAAATCTGAGATAGTGGGGCAGTTGTAAAAATTGGCTGCAGGTCTCCACTCTTCAGGTTCTGTGTATAACTTTTTATAGAATTCAATGATCGCATTCTTTATTCTACTTGGCTCCTCCACTGTTTCATCTTGGATCATCAGTTGATCAATATTATTGTACCTCTTGTGTGCATCGGCAGTGCGATGAAAAAACTTTGTATTTCTATCCCTTTCTTTGAGCCATAGGGTCCTAGATTTCTATCTCCATGCACTTTCTTCATTCTTGAGATGCTCCTCAAAATCCATGAGGGCAGCTGCCTTCCTCACTGACTCCTCCTCTATCAAAGCTCTTGCTTGCTGTATTGTATCAAATTCTGCCAATTGGTTCATCAGTTTAGATTTTTGCATTCCCAAATTCCCCTTACAACTTCTGCTCCATTCTTTTAGCTTGCCTTTGAGGGCTTTTAGTTTGCAAGCTAAAATATAGTCTGGTCTTCCTGAGAATTCAAAAGTTGTCCACCAGTTCCTGATTCTGTCATCAAAACCTTCAGAATTCAACCACCAATTTTCAAACTTAAAGTATGATTTGGCTTGCTCCCAAACACCACAGCAGAGGGCCACCAGGGTATGATTAGAGATCAACCTTTGTTGGATAGTTTTCTTGATGTTTCTGAAGCTATCATCCCATTCTTCTGAAATTAGAAACCTGTCAATTCTAGAAGCAGTTGTATGATTATCCCCTTTGAACCAAGTGTAGGAGCCTCCTTCAAGTTGAAGGTCTATCAACTCCATGTCTTCAATGAAGTTTGAGAATTCCACCATCTCTTTGGACCTCCTAAGGCAGTCCCTTTTTTCAATGGGAAACCTTGTGATATTGAAGTCACCACAAACTGTCCAAGGGCCATTCAAAAGACCCCTCACTGCACCAAGTTCCCTCCATACTGTTCTTCTTTCAATTCTGCAATTTGGAGCATATACTCCTGTTATATGACACTAAAAGTTCTGTAAGAGAGCCTCGAACTTACATGTCAGCGTGTATGACCCAATTTGTAACATCTCCCCTTTCCACACTCTACGGTCCCATAATAATAAAATTTCCCCTCTCGTGCCACTAGCTTCTAGACATGCATACCTCACCCATCTCCCCACCCCCCACCCCCCAAATTTGACTGACAAATCCCTTGATATCCCCCTCCAATTTTGTTTCTTGCATACAAATAATGCATGCCTTCCAGTTGCTTATTTGACTCTTTATGATCTCTCATTTCTTCTTGTCATTTAATCCCCTAATATTCCATGATATTAGATTTATCTTCATATTGCAATAATTGATAGGTCTTTCCCCTATTTCTTTTTCCATCACTCTTGAATTTGACATCAAAGAAAGCTAGACCTTTTAATTTTAGTGAGCCTTTGAATCTTTGTTTCTTTACTTCCACCTCTGTCTCTACTCTTCTAACTTGTCTACAACTGTCAATTTGCATCAGCAGCTCCGGTTCTTCTTCTTTGTGATAAAAAAAATCTACTCCGAACATTTTTCCCAATTTAATCATGTTCTGGTGAACCCATAGTGTCGCGCCCATATCCTTATCCATTATTGAATTTTGGTGTTGAATTGAGAGAGGAGTAACCTCCTCTACCTCCCAGTTTTGTTAAGAATTGAGATGAATTAGTTGTTTTTGGACCGCTAGCCTGCTATCTACTTGATCTTCCCCTAATTTCGTGTGAACAGTGAGCTCCCCTGCATTCTGTCCCAATTTTCCTGCCTCTTCATCATATTCAGGTTGTTCGCATTCCCTATCTGTTGTTGCATGTGCTATAATTTCGAGGGTTGTAGAGGGAATTGGATTCTCTTTGTTATTTTCTTAAAATTTCGAACTTGAGATGCTGCCACGTTCCTCAAAATAAGGTGTCACTCTTTTGTCTTCATTGGGCTCCCGTGAAATGTCATTGAAATTGACCTGGGCCGCTGGATCAGGCCCATTTAATTTCAGACCAGTATTTGTGCTATTTAGGCCCAGATCTGTTGAAATAGAACTTGGACCTTGCATGTGCTGCACACGTGCCTCTCCTTTAATCTTCACATGAAGTAAAGTACACCCCATGTGCTTCCCCATCATATTTACAGCTGTTTGACTGCTTTTAACCGTTGGTTTCTCATAGGTCTTCTCTGTCCACTGGTCACTTGTGAAATTTGTACCTTTCTCTGTTTCTTCTTCGGCACGGGCTAGGGTTTCTGATGATTTCAGCTCAAATCTTGCTTGTTTTTCAGTCTAGATTAGGATGAAAAATCTGATCCCTTCTCTTTCAATCAAAATTTTAGTGGGTATTTTCTTGCCAGCACCAGCAACTTGGATTTTGGCCCACTTGAGATGATTTTTGAGGTTAGTTTCTTCTTTAGTAGCTATTCACCCCAACAGAGATCTCTTATTTCTTTGAAGATCTTTTGTGACCAGAGATGAAGGGGAATCCCTATGGCTCTAATCCGACAGGTTTCCACTATTTGAGAATTTGATAAGCAACCAACATTGTAGTTCCACCATTCCAGATGGAACTTGAACTTTTTCCATATCCATTCACCTTGCAAAACCTGCTCGGCCATATATCTATTTGGAAATTCGAATAGAAACATGTTACCAGTCATCGCGTACATGTTGACCCCAAAAGCTTTATTCCAAGAAGCAACAACCCATCTCCTTATGTTTGTTAGTGTCGGTCGCTCAGTAATATCCTTTCCAAAGTACCCAATAATGCATCTTTTGAGTAGGCCAGTGTCCTCAATTCCGTGTCGTTCCATAATAGAATTGTCTCCTTTATTTGAACTAACTACTGCCTCTCTAAGGGTATTGGATTGCCATTTACTCTCCTTAACTGCTTTGGCATAAGGTTATTTGTCCACGATGTATCTGGGTGGTATTTTTTCACTCAACTTGGGGCCATAATAAATGAATCTCTCTATCTTAAATGCAATGTCTTTCCAACCTGCATTCAAGGCCAACTCTGGCATAATAATGACCGACCTTTCCTCTCCCTTTAATGACAAGATAATCATATACCTTCCGTGAGCATTGAATTTCCTAGTGCGGAAATATTCTATCAGATGTTCCTTATTCTTCCATCTCCTCACTAGATTCTTCTGATCTTTCGAAGCTTCTTTAAGTATGAAGCACAACCATTCCATTGTCTTTTTGCCCATGGATGAGCGTCTCATCATATTGCGACTTCTCTCCACCCATTCAAATCATGTGTATTTGTTAGAATTCCATCTGGTGATATCGAAAGATTTGAAGTCATCATTGAGGTATATCATGTTTTCTCCCATATTAGATCTAAACAACTACTTTGATAATCTAAGAAGAAGGTTTGGTAGAAATCATAGTGGGTGATTACTGATTTAGAAGAAAGAAAGGTTTGGTAGTAATCACTGTAGACATGTAATTTTGACCCGCACATTAGTATTACCCTTAAAAATCCTAGTTTTTTTGAGTTATTTCTATAGGACTTCACTTTATTTTAATTATAATTCTATTTTTTTAAGGCACAAAAAACTAAAAAAAATATACAAAAATACATACACACACACACACACACACACACACACACACACACACACACATATATATATATATATATATATATATATANNNNTAATAAGAATATATATATATATATAGTTTCATGTTTTACCTTATTTCTATTTAGTTTAGGTTATTAATATTTTATAGCCATATCTTTTGTTTTTACTATGATTTTTACTCTTATTTTTAATTTATATAAAACATGATATATTAAAAAAAATATGTAGTTTCATATTATCGCATAATTTGTTTAATTAATCGGAATTAGTTTAGTTTTAATTTAAAAGATTGAGTTTGTTATTTAATGGACTTTAAAATTGAAGAAGTACAAATTTGAATCCCCATTTCTACACAAATAGAGGCCCAAACCTGGGCAGCCCAATCCCATAACCCCTTGACCCACGCCCCAAACCCAAAACCTGCTGATCCAATCCGCCGCCCCGCCCCATCTCCACATTAGATCTCAGCCATCAATCTATTTCCCATCCAACGGCCAAGATTTATCCTTACCTTGACATAAAAACCTAATATTTCCAAACCCTACCCTAATGTAACACCACCCAAATGGCGTCCCCTCTTCACCCCATCCTAGCCGCGCTTCAGCCATGGTAAGACCACCCAAAAACTTCACTCATTGGTCCCTATGGTCCCCCCATCCTCTCTCTCTTCTCCACTTCATCCAAACCACGTGAAGAATATTCTCGAACTAATTTCTTTCTTCTCACTCGTTTTTGCACGCGCGACTGAGAGTCTCTTCGAGTATGTGTTGGACGAATGGGAAGCGTGGGATTGATCAATCGATCCAAGCCTTCCATTCAACCACGTGCTTACTTGGTTGAGAGATTTTTCAGTTCTTTGAAGAGAAAGGCTGGAGGTTTCCAGGTTCAATATATAAGGGGTTCGTTTTCAGATTTTGACAGAAAAAAAATCGAAAGAAAAGGGAGAGAAAATTGGAGAGGCGTCAAGCTAGGTTTTTAGTTCTGATTTGGCAATCTTCGTTTTCTAATTTCAGTTTATATAAAGAACGTTAGAGTTTTTTTAGTTTGTTCTTTTGATTTCCAAAACAGAAAAAAGCGAATACTGGATTCTTGACTTGGTCTTCAACTATGAAGTTTGATTGAGGTTTGCCGTGGAGTCGAGGTCGTTCGAGCTGTTCATTGTTTGCAAATCGAGGTTCATTTGCGGTTCAGTTAGCGCCGAGCCAATTCAGTCCAGTTTATGTTCGAGTTCTAGTTGCTGTTTCGTTTGATTTTGTTGCCGCACTTGCTTGTATTCAACTTCCAGAATTAATCAAACTTTTCGCATATCAGGTTTATGTTTGCCTCCTACTATATTTCTGTGTTGTCGATCTTAATATGACGAGCCAAAATTTAACTGGTTCGGGGCTATTTGAAACTTGGATGTTAAGAATTGACTCGAGTATGTGTCTTATCTATTCATGAAATTGTTTCAGTGTTCTAGGGAGTTATTTCAGATCTGAATGACTAGTTTTTGTGTGTTCGACTTGAATTGGTTAATCGTATGTCTATTAAGCGAAACATGAATAAGTGGCTGATTTTCTTGTGGTTATTGTAGGTGTATATTTGTTGGCCTGACGTTACTGAATTCCTCCATGACTTTCCTTGTTTGATGATTGCCCAGTTAAGTTAATTAATGTTCTAAAACATGTCTTCAAATTGTTACAAACAGTTTGCTAGATCTCTTAGGGTAATCAAATGGTGATTATGTTTCAATGCTAAGTTGATGTTCATGTCTAAGCAATTTGAATGATCACAGGAACTAAGTTAAACTGGTTGTTCCATTTCATCTATGTTAATTCAGAATGAATCCTAGGAGTTGTCTGCTTGAATTCTCTGTTCGAATTTGATTATGCTCTGTTATCTACTCCCATACAGGGTGTTATTCAGACATGGAAATGGTTACAGTGGATGAGATTTTCTTTTTCTTTGATTTTCTTTACTCTTCGTGCTAAGTGGAATTTGAACATGAAAATTGTTTGTTTCGAGTCTACTACGGATGTGTTTCAAATATGCTAAGTTGTCACTATTAGAATTTTGGTCCTGTAAGAGTGGAAAACCCAATCAGTTTTTAAAAGGTTTGCTGTAGTATGGTTCAATTCATTTGTTTTATGACCATATTGCGGGTTGACTACATGTTTTAATGCATTGATCCATTTTGANAAACTCTAAATGGCTTTCATCATATTTTGATCCACTTTAATATTTTTGCCCTTTTCTTTTCTTCAGCTTTGTCAATTGTGATCTCTTTCTTTCTTTTATGTGTTTCCTATGTTGAATACATGAATTATTTTGCATAATTGTTGCACCGTGGGGAATCGGAAAAAGATCGAGCCCGCTAGTATTTAATTAAATTACATGCTTTAGGATTGGGCTCGGTCTAAATACATTAAAATTAAAGATTAAAAGGAGAATGAACATGAAAAGAATCCTATTTACTTTAGTTTATTTTTATATTTGTACTCTTTCTTACTTAACCGCTAGGAGCATGCTAGGCCGTCATCATTCGATTAGATCAAGTGCGCAACCGTACTAGTTACGGGACTTAGGGAGTGTCTAACACCTTCTCCCCGAGTCAAATGAACCCCCTTGCCCAAATCTCTGGTGTAGACTTAGTTTTAGAGTTCAAAGTGTTTTGAAAGGAAAATTATTATTTTTAGAAAAAAAACGGTGATCTAACACACCGAAATCAAATGTCAGGTGGCGACTCTAAGTTAATCCTTTTGAACACACAATTGTCACTTTTCAAATTGAAAACCTTTTTCAAGCTTTTTTACTAAATTTTTTTTATTTATTTAAGAGGGTTTAGTGAAGGTTGGTGAAAAGGGGTGTGACAATCACAGTGGGTGATTACTGATTTAGAAGAAAGAAAGGTTTGGTAGTAATCACAGTGGGTGATTACTGAATAAGAAGAAAGAAGAGTTAGATTCCGGTGAAAGATTACGCCGGAAAAGGTATTCTGCAGTCCTAGGAAGTAAGAAAGAGAATATGGACCCACGCACCTACGACTTTTTTACATAAACTTTTTTCAAGGTAAAATGTACAATTGACACTAAAAATCTACAAAACTTTAGCTATAACAGTGAGGTGAGAGGTGGTGAAGTTGGCTCAGTACTGGAAAGAACATCTCATAATATTGCCACTTCAAAATACACTATTCAAAGGGGAAATTGTCACATCATTAATCTCATTATGAAGTGATGACAGGCTATAATTGCGTATTTTAGTTGCTTATTACACTTTAATTGAGTTTGACCTTTAATCGCTATTGTATTGCACTAATTGTGTATTTTATGCCTTGTAGGAGTGATTTCGAGCTATGTAGATATCATGGAATGAATTCAAGTGATTTGGAGCTTTGAAGTCTGAGTAAAAGCCCAAGGAATCAAGCCGGGATCGTGTTCGAGGATCAACAGAAGATAGTTAAGAACGAAATAAAGAATCTAGCGGGCATACAGTGCATTGTCTAGTAAAATACATATAACTTTTCGCTCAGTACTCCGTTTGGGCTCTACAATATATTGTTGGAAAGCTATTCGAAAGGGCTACAATTTCATGTTTTGCATTTTTGTAAATTCTCAATACCGCGCCGCAGAGTGCGCCGTATCTGTGCAAATTTCCAACAGTCTGCCAGGAAACAGCTCACTGAACTTGCCCACTGCCGCGCCGCACAGTGCGTCGAAGCCTGCGGCACGCCTGTACAAATTTTACAGAGTGATTGTCTTATTTCTTGCGAGAGAAGGTATTTTCGTTTGGGCCCAACCCTACTTGGTATGTATACATGGAAAAACATTATTTTGGTGACTCTGGACACATTTTAGACCTAGGAAGAGCACGGAGCCGTCGTGGAGACCGGAGATTTGACCTAAGGAGGCAAGAATACACTAGGAGCAAGGCAAAGAATTCTTCTACGAGTTTTTTACTTCCTTCTTCCTATTTTCATTATTGGTTATGAATTCTAG